TAGAAATCTACACCCAGAAACAGACATACTAACCCGCAAAAAAGGTGTGGTTAACCGGGGCTCGAAACTACTTTTAGAAATTTCTTTAGATGAGATTAAACTAGCCCTAAAAAAGATGAAAAACCAAAAATCACCGGGTGAAGACTACGTGGGTTCCGATACGATAAAGATTGGTGGTCCTTGTTTGCTCCAAAAAATGAAATCCCTTTTCAACCTTTGTCTCTTCAATAGTACGATACCTGAAAAGTGGTACAACGCCATCGTAATACTGATCGACAAGAAAGGAGATATTTCTAACCTAGAAAACTGCAGGCCTATAAGTCTTTTTAGTCACCTTTACAAGCTATTCACTGGAATAATTACCACGCGACTTGAAAATGAGCTAGATTTTTTCCAGTCCGTAGAACAAGCCGGTTTCCGAAGTGGGTTTGGAACCAACGATCATCTTCAAAGCGTCAAAACAGTGATTGAAAAAACCATTGAATACAACAGACCTCTGGTTCTCGCTTTTGTAGACTTCCATAAAGCCTTCGACACTGTGGAGTGGGACGCAGTGTTGAAGTCCCTAGAAGCATGCCGCATTGACTATCGATATACTAAACTCATGTTATAGTAAAATTACATGAAAATACGAATCCCATAAAAATTGGAAGAGGAGTACGACAGGGAGATACGATGTCTCCAAAACTGTTTATCACCGTTCTAGAATATATATGTTTAAAAAACTAGACTGGGACAATAAAGGTCTGAACATAGACGACCAAAATCTATCAAACTTACGGTTTGCAGACGACATTGTTTTACTGGCTGACAACTTGGAAGATACCAGAACAATGCTGCAGGAACTTCAAGAGGTCTGTGCAACAGCTGGTATAAAAATGAACATCGGAAAAACAAAATTTATGATGACAAACCTCGTCCCTAGCAACAACCTAATTATTGAAAACTCCGCGGTAGAACTGGTAGACGTTTCAAAGGAAAGTATTTAATCAATGTGTTTCACCGGTCATGACCTACGGCGCCGAAACACTATCCCTTACCAACGCTTCTGCTAAAAAACTAAAGATAACGCAGCTTAAAATGGAGAGATCCATGCTTGAAATTATAAACATTTATTATTACATGACACTCAGTGACCTTCCATAATTTTGACAAACTTAAATCACCCAAGTCTGCGTTATCTTTTAACCAGGTGAATAAACTTGTATCTAGCGATTAGTTTTTCGGAAAACAAAACGTTTATTATTATAATTAAAACTTATTGATGTTAAAGAGCTGTCGCCCATTTTTTTGTCAAATATTTTGAAACTTAACTTAAATATTTAATATATTATAAAATTTATTTTAATTGTAGTCTTTAAATGTTTTGTGATCTTGATACGCACGTGACTTCTTTCTTTTCGCGTCCTCTTCAATAATCTCTTAATCTGCATCGACGACGATTCGCATTCAAGAATTTGGAGGGAGTTCTTTCTCGAGAAACGAAACACATTGACAAGAAGAAGAAAGAAGATAACGTAACAACCTCGATAGCTGTTGTAATTGTAAATGGTGCTAATTATAGAATTCAAATGAAAGGTTTATAAATTAAGAGCTCCGTGGTCTCAAGCTTAACAGAAGGAAACTACTATGCTCAAAATGAGGATTAACCTCTTATGTCCAATCAGAAAATGTAGGGGACGATGTATTCAGGGAATTGGAAGACTTCATCATTAAATATATGAATCTTTGAAGCGTTTCGTACAGAAAATTTATAAATTTTTTTCATCATCGCATGAAGTATGTCGCTAATACTATTCGTAGCTTTATTTCTGTTGCTGATTGTGATGGTCCCTTTAACAAGAGAATCGTCCTATGCTTTTCCCTATAACGATTTATGAAATGGTCTCCAAAAATCCTGACGTATCCCTTTTAGGTTGTCGAAGCGAATCGATAAACCAGATAGACGCAACGGTTGCGGTTAATCGGTCGGCCGAGCGACCGGAATGGTAAAAATGAAACTCGAATAAATAATTAAACAATCGATTAAAAGGCACACGCTCCATTTCGATAAAAAATGAACGAGTGAAAAACGTCGCACTAAATTTTTTTCTTGTGAAATTAAACCCCTTTCTTCTTAACTTTAAAAGCCGTGCCTAATTTGAAAGTTAACGTACTCCGAAGGTCATTTCGGATCTCGGATGTGACCGACAGCCTGGCGATATACGGTCCAATCGACCTTGTAATTGGTCAATAGGCCATGCGACAGTATTCTGGCAATTTAGTGGTGTTTAGGCCTACTTTACATAGTCCTGATATTGATTTGAAGGTAAACAGGGTGCGATCTGGAATATGGCTTAACTTATTTATGTCGTTTTTATTCTCTCCATATAATATTTGATTTTCAAAATCAATAAGAGTATTTGTAAACTCTAAAAATCATACATGTCTTTCGCCCAAATTATTTTTCAAAACTGATTCCAATATTCCCATGTATTTTAAATAATAGGCACATTATGTCATGTCACCAGAAATACGGAACCTTGAACCGCAACCAAGGCTGCAAACAAACCACCAGATTTTAAGAGAATCGACTGAATATTTGCAGATATTAACAAACATGTTTTTTCAATTTAGCTCCCTGTATTTTTAATACTGCATTTCCTGACCCATGTTAATAAAAACTTTTTTTCATATTTTTTAACAATAAAACACAATGATTATCTTCAATCATGGACATTTATTTGGTCGCAACTGACGTATTCTCATTAAAAGAAATTCCACATGTTGAATTTTTCCTTATTATCAGTAATTCTCAGTAATTTTATAGCACTATTTCGATTAAATCATTCTAATTTTTAAAAATAGTCTCAATAACAAAAATATATTCAAGCACCTTTGGTTAGTATCGGATCTATCGGACTATTGCTATAACATTAGTTGCCCATGACAAAATGACATCAATGATATAGACAATCTCTTCAGTATTTAATGGAACGGAATAGGATTCGGGATGCGTGCAGAATGTTAAGGAACGTGCAAAAATATATACGAAAAAAAAAAATGAAACATCTGTATCCTAATATATAACAGAGCCTATTTTTGAACATTTATTTCGCCATAATAATAATTAAAAATAAGATAAGTTAATTTGAAGTAATAGATGCTTAATATGACTTACTCTTTCTATTAATTTAAAATTTGGCCGGTTTTGTCACCAAAATTGATAATAACTGATTTTTTATCTACGGCTCGAACAAAATTATTTGTATAGTTTATTTTTTAATATTAACAGAACTCTCTTGGCTAATAGTTTTGTCATTGCCAACTAATATTGTAGCAAAAAGAAGGCTAAATGTTGAAAAAGCTTAAATAAATCGCAAAATATTAAAAATAGGTATACGAAATACTTAATAAAAGTTATAGGTTTTTGTAAGATAATTCAGAAAAAAAAAGAATTTATGGTATGCCATTTAAGAAAATCGAGATTTTTAAATTTAAAATTATTCAAATATGTCTGTTTATTTTGAACAACCTATAGAATATAATTCCAATTCCGTTGCATATCTCTTTTACGTCATCTTCAAATAACACTAATATCAAATATGAGTGATTTACCTTCAAAAATATTGGCGCTTCTTAATTTTTTTGCAAGAGTGAAAACTAGTATTTTTTTAGAAAAATTAAAATAACCATAAGTTTAAGTATGTGTTATTAATAAAAAAAAGTATAGAAGAGACAATTGTTGTATTCTTCAAGTTTTTTTAGCCATCCTGTATATTTTAAAATAATTTTGAATTGTGCATCCTAACAATCTTTACAACTCTTGTAGTAATCATTTGCTCATAACTTTTGAATCCAATGAGAAAATGAACTTTGCTCTTTCGTTGGCTCATCATAATACTTATTAATCCATTTGTTCTCTCTCGACCAAAGTAAATTCGAATTTGCCAGTGGATTAGAGGATATCTTACTAGAATGCTTCGTTTGAAAGATATTTCAATTTTCTATTTTTTATTACCATTGACAGCTCAAACTTGCCAAACCAACTAACCGACTTAATATTTCTTTCGAATAGCGGCATTAAAATGATTGAAATAAAATTAAAGTCGGGAAAACGATTGATTAAAAAGGCTTTCGCGCCATTTTCTGCGTTCAAGTCAACATTCTATGCAAATGAGATCAATCTTTTTTTAAATTAAAACAACAATCGTTCAGTTGCCGGTGTACCTAGGCAAATAAGTACCTTTTTGCTGTCAATTAATTTAAATACGTATCAATAAATACGACACGTTTCAATGTCACACTGCGTTAGTCTTAAATAAAACTCGCTGGTTTAATTTACAAGAAAAATAACAAGAATAATATGTATTAAAAAAGGCAAAGATTTGTTGCAAATTTTTATTCTAACAAAATTAATGACCGTATACGTATACAAGATATATGCATAATCAATACCAAGATCGTATGATTGATATAACATTGCAGGCAAAAGCAGAAAGAAACAATAATAATAATAATAATAATGTAATTATTAAAGAATATTCAAAAACAATGCTATCATGTCATAAAAAAACACAACACCCTGCCGATTTTGTTGTAAATTGTATATTGATTGTTGAAGATTGATTAAATCCAGAGGCGCCCCAATTTTTTTGAAAAAAAAAAAGATACCGACCTACTTTTTTTATCGTTTTTTGTATTTTTCTCTGATAAGCTATTATCACGTTCATAAATTTTGAGGTTGTTTAAAGTTGATCTTTTTTAATATATTTTTTTTAAACAATACTGAATTTACTATGCCAGATATACTTGATACTAAAAATATTTAAATGCATTGAGTTAAAAAAAATTAAAATTGTCAGTGGCGCAGATTATATTAGTTAAAAATATTTTTTTAAAGTACGTTTCATTAAAAGCAAATATTCATATACTTCTTATTCTAAAATCACTCAAAGGTTTACCTTGATGGATACTTAAAAAACATCAACAGACTTCAAGAGTATAACATTAAAACTCACCTTCCAGTGTTTCTCCTCGCTCAGCCTGTTAGCCACCACGCATCCTGCACTTCCTGCACCGATCACAATAAAGTCGTATTCCTGACCGGCATCCTTATCTGTGAAAAAGCTCGAGGGGTGGAAAAAGTCGTCACCCCCGCCGCCGCCGCCCCCCGAGAACGCAAACTTCTGAGAAAACTTGTCGTCCACCGAATAACCAAAGAGATGGGCCACGAGTTGCAAGAACAGAAACGTCTGAGTCTGACAGGTGGTTATCGTGGTGTAGACGGAACAGGCTTCGGACAAATCGGGCGGTACCCAGACCATGGTGGTTGCGCACTCGCGTCTGATGGTCGCTTTCGTGGTACAGACGCGCCCGCGCGTGAGCGTGATTTGATAATAATGGTGTGCTGTGGGCTTAAGATCTTACGTTTAACCCTTCCAAATGGAGTCGCCTTGGGCCCCACAAGGAAAGTAAAAGTCGCGTTGCGAATTTCTTCGATACGGTTTTTCGGCCGCGGGCATGGGCGGCGAAACAAGGCGGCCGGATAAGCGGTTTTTTTTGCTGCAAATGAACTAGAGGCTCGAAGAAAAAGTTAAAAATATAACAATTTTTAGCAAAAATTGAAAAATTTTAATGCCAAACTCCCATTTCTAAATAAGATTTTTTTTTTAATTCTTTTTTCCCATCAACATTAAACGAACTTCAAAGGCTCATATTCGGAGACAATGTGCGTGGGAACTTGCAACATATTTCAACCTGAGTCTGAATAGTATTTTGATGTGTGAAGCATCACGGAGTGTTTAGATTTTGAATGACACTTACACTTTATGTTAAACATATTAATGATGGTTGTCTTAGATGTCTGTAATAAGTTATCTTACTTAGATTCAGATTTAAGAATATGCTATTTAGATACATTTATAGAATTACAATATTTTTATACTAACAATAAATGGTACTGTTTATATTTTCATTCCATATTGTTGGTCTGTGATTTAAATTATTCTGTTGGTAAATAAATTACACAAACAACTAAATAAATAATATAAAGGAACAACCGTTCCAAATTGTTCGTTATGAAATTTTTTGTGTTTCTATGCACATAGTTCCCAAACAATTTTTTCTAAAACTAATTTCCGAAACAAACTTAAAGTGTCAGTATGGGGAATCAAATTGGACACTTTTTAAGGGGAACTATGCTTTCTAAAGGAGTTGTTCAATAACTTTACTCATCTATTTATTTACGGTAATAAGACAATATTTTCCGTAAAAATAAAATTTGTAATAATCTGACATCTTAAAATAACCTCAGTAGTGTTATTTCAAATAAAACTTAATTTAACCCGTCTACGGATATGCGTAGATTTTACAACAAATTTTTATTTCTTAAAAAAAGGAAAAAAATTGGATTTTCTTTTTGAATTTTTGTGACTCAATAAATAAAGGATAACCAAAACTCTAATTTAATATTGTTTTATAAATAATATTCACAAATATACCTCATCATATCATGTCATGTCATACAAATGTCAAATTAATAGTTTTCATTGTTATATACAAATCCTTTATTTACATAATGATATTCAGAACTACGTTTCTCTTAATGGCTTTCAATATTAAATAAAACCTCTATATTATTTCCAACGGTGGGTAGGTGGACTGGCAATGAAATTTCGTTGGCTACCAAGTAGTCCAGGCTTCAACTCTTTGGATTTCTCAATATGCTCTTCAATACTTGAGCGATTTAGGATACACCGAAAAAGTTAATTGCTTGCACATAAAATAGACATTTATGGGAGTGAAAGTAAGGTAAAATGTATTTAGGTAGATGGTGGACAATTCCAATATTTGATTTGAAGTTTATTTTATTACTATTACCAGAACTGTTATTGTTATTGATATTCGTATATATACGTTAATTATTTAATTTTTATTGCTCTCCATACCTCTTCATCTATTAAGTATTTAGATACAAATAAGTCAAAAACCGACAGCTAGACGGCCTAAACAACGGTAACCTTTTCGATGAAAAAATGAACATTGTCTCAGATTTTAAGCATTTTTAAACCTTCACTCGACTGATAAAATAATATGATTCGATATATGATAGTAATACTATGAAATTAGGGCTCTCTAGAAGCAACGTCAAAATAAGTACCAAATGCCTAATTGTTATGTCAAAAAGTTTAAAACTGCGAACACCCGGTATATGCAAAACCAGCGACATTGGTATGAGGCGTATTGAGCTGAACCATAACGTTAATCATTCCCTAGTATCTTAGCTTTAGAGATATGGTATTTATTCATAAAATAAAATAAGATCATGTAATATGCAAGACGTGTAGACATGCATTACTGCAACCACAACAATTTACCGCTTAAAAAATTATAATTTATACTAATTAGTATTTATTATACATACACAAGATCAACACCGTCACAAATAGTCAAAGTATATCACAACCGCCTAGTTTTAATAAAGATAAACCAAAAAACTATACAGGAACGGTCATTGTCGCAACAGTAAGGTAGAATTTTATTTGCAATTTCAGCATCAATCTTTACAGCCTGTACATTTTTAGCCTGATATAAGGCACTACGAATAGTAAATATTTGACTACAGAATATTTAGGAAATCATATTCACTGTGCTGTTATAACGAAATGTAGACATTTATTTAAATTTTACAAAATGTGGATTTCCGATACGAAATATGAAAAATAATATAAACCCTCCCTTATTGCAGTTACTGACATAAATATTCACATGTATTGCAAATAAAACAATCCACAGACCGTCTTACTTTAAATAAAATTTGTTTCTTTTTCTGTTGGAAATAAGTAATTTGTATACTGATAACTAAACCAGTTATGAATGAAATTTCGCGTTCCCATGATCAAAACAAATTTAAAAAAATATTGATTTTCATTATAGCGATCGTTCAAAAGCATCGCCCGACATCAAAAAAGAACACCTATACAACCGCAAAATAACGTGGTATTAACGTTTCTACTCTCCGCTTTCTCTTGCTGTAATCGTGCGCCACTGGGGTCCGGTACCTCGCGAAAAATGTGCATTCTAACAGAACCAACGCAGACCCGGGCGTTTTTTTCCAAGCGTGTCGATAAATTTTCGGGTGTCCGAAATCGATCAGACACGGGATCACAAACGCGCGATAACCGTTTTGTCGCCTTCGATTTGTTATTAAAAATTTCGCAAGATCGTTTACCTTCAAGCCGAAACCCGAATTTAATTCAAGGAAGCGTAAATTCTTCGCGTTAGTCCTCGCACGTCCGCGCTACCGTTTTTTTGATGGACGTTTCGAAAATTTGACCGAAAAAAATCGATTTTTTTTTCTATCCCAACGTACGCAATTTAAAAAATTAAAGGATCCGTGCGATCAATTGTTTGTTTTAACAATAATAACACATACTTACTGATAGATATAATCATTAACTATATTATATAACCATGAAATGATGGCGTGCCGCAGGGCTCTGTCCTGGGCCCGCTGATTTTTTCTGTGTACATTAACAATGGATGTTATTTCTGGTCTCCAAATAAATGCATTTTGTATACCGACGATGCTTCAATTGCTAGGTATGGCCGAAACACGCAAGATTTATTAGAGAAAATAAAACAAGTTGAAGATAGAGCTCATTCTGTTACATTTTACATTAAATCCAGATAAAACACAGCACCTTGCTATTCCAACAAATAATAGCTCTTAGATGGGTGCTAGTGTAAAAATTTTTTGGATTACGCTGGATGATAGTTTGGGCCGCTTCCATGTCTGTACATCTATTTTCTAACAGACTTTCAATATATGGTATTGAATTATCCCGAAAAGTGACAGATTTGAAAAGAAAAAATATTTCTATTCTCTTCTTCTGAGCTTCTGCTTTTTTTCTTTCCACTGCATGAGTTTGTCGAGAGTTTCTTTTGCATTTTTAATCTTAGCGTCTTGACAATTAATAATAAATAGAAGCAAAGCCACCTAAGTAATATTTTGTTTTTATAAAAATGTATTTAGTTTTCTGGTTTTTTCCTTCCTATAAGCTTATTTTTTTTATGGATTTTGAAAATCTTGCAAAATATTGCAAAAAAAGTACCGGTTTTAAAAAGTTTTTGCTCCCACTAGGGTGCTACTTGAAAAAACTAGGGTATCCTAAAAAATAATAGTTCATTATATTAAATGCTATTTGCCATTAGACAAGTAAAGAAAAGTTTCTTTTACAATTTTTTTCTACTCCCGTCTGTAAAATACCTAATTACGCACGAATCTAGCGTGCGGGAAGGGTCACTTTACCACGTCATTTTCGTTTCCCACGAATCCGAGCCACTTCGGATATTTCTGGGATTTTACCGCACGGGTTTGGGAGGAATCGGATGTTTTCGGAGATATTTCCCACGCTTTGAATTTTGACTTTTGTCAATTCTGACAGTCATGTCAGTAAATATATTCGCGTTGTTTTGTGAAAATGTACCCAAAAACTAACGGTCGTACAAAAAGTATAGTATTCAACAAGTTCGGTAAACTTTTTAACTCACTCGTTTAATGATCACTCGCTCCGCTCGGGTCAAATAAACTCGTGAGTCAAATACCGTTTACCGCACTTGTTGCGTAATATACTCTCCTACAAGTGACCCAAAGTTTTTGATAGTTGAGTTCGAGCAGATGGACATAATTTTGAACAAAATTTTTGAAATGTCTTATTATGTAGTTAATTGCAATAATAATTTTGGTTATTAACTTGTAGGTATTTTACTGTTTTTTCATTTATTTATCATGTTATCAGAACTAAATCGATAAAAAATAATAAATAAAATCATACTAAAATAGTTGAAATCTATTGTTTGTAATTGCACTTAAAACAACTGCGATAACAATGGTTGCCATAGTAACTAACATTCATGGCATACTTGTAAAAATAAGCGTTAATCACATTTTTTATTAATCAAGAAATGTTTAATATAAATCGGTATAACTTAGAAACGGGTAAAGTAAATAAGTTTGAGTAAATAACAAAAAAGTTTTTAAATAATATGTACTTTTGTATGCGCGTATTTCCAAAGTCTCTGCAATCGAATAATTTTTCGACGCGTCCCGACGCCCAGCTCTTTGCAGGCGTCGAATTTTTTAAACTTTAGGAAATATCTACTTGACCCCACACTTTGACTACTTTTTACATAAATTAAATATTTCTTTTCGTTTTGGACTTATTGGCGTGCGGAGTTTTAAGTGAAAAACCCTGTATATATATTTTTTTTGACGTATTGATTCACGGATGGAAAAATATGATGACACTATATTCCGGGATATCATCCGTTCGCTTGTTGAACTCCGACTGGAATCCTGCAGACG